GGCTGGGCCGACTGAGCCATCTACATGTATACCAACATTCTTGAACAATCCAGGAAGCAGCAATGACAGATGGAAGTACCCCTGCTGTCCACAGGTACCTGGTTGGCTGCAGGCCCTTGGCATACTCTTTCCCTCCTGTGCTCCTGAGTGCCAGCCAGATGGCCACTGGATGTGCAGAAACATCAGAGGAAGGAAATAGGCTCTAGACTCTAGTCAAATTCACAGTAAAAAATAGGGAGTGGGGTGGAGTGGGTCCACCAGAGCACCCCTCTTAGCAGAGTCCTACAGCCCAGCAGCCCTAAGGTATTCCAGAGCCAAAAGAATTTAACCCAGGGCTGGAGAGGTGGATCAGCTGTCAAGGGCACTGAGTGCTGTTTGCAAAGGACCCGGGTTCAAGAGTACTGGATGTTCTTGCAAAGGACCCAGGTTCAGTTCCCAGTACCCACAAGGCAGCTAACAGCTGTCAGTAACTCCAGTTCCAGGGGAAGCCCTCTTCTGGCTTCTGTGGGCATTGTATGACGGGGTGCACTACATGCAGGCAATACATTCATCCATATAAAATAGTAAAAAATAATAAATAAAAAAGAAACAGTATTAAAAAAAAATTCATGTCAGGCATGGTGGTACATGCCTGTGATCCCAGCACTCAGGAGACAGAAGCTAGACAAAGAATGCTACAATTTTGAGGCCAACCTGAGCTACATAATAAGTTCCAAGCCATCCTGGGCTACTCCATGAGATTCTGTTTCAAAAACACCAAAACCATGGCCAGATGTGTTTACTCACACTCCAAATTCAGGAGGCAGAGGCAGGTGGTTCTCTGAGAGTTGGAGGCAAGCCTAGTCTACACGGCTGAGTCCCCTCAGGCCAGCCAGAACTGCAAAGTGAAAACTTGTCTCAAAAATAAAGAAAAATATAAACAAACAAACAAAAAACCTCATCAAAACAAAACCGAAAAATATATATACATAAACCAGGTGTGGTGGCGCACACCTTTAATCCCAGCACTCAGGAGGCAGAGGCGGGCAGATCTCTGTGATTTCAAGGCCAGCCTTGTCTACATAATGAGTTCCAGGCCAGCTGGGGCTACAAGAAGACCCTGTTTCAAAAAAGACCAAAATGTATATATATGTATGTGTGTGTGTGTGTGTGTGTGTGTGTGTGTGTGTGTGTTTACGTATAAAATTAATTCAGTACCTAAAAGCCAAAGTTGTGGAAAGGTCTCTGGCTATGGTGTAGCCAAAAGGGAACATAAATGGTACTAATATTTATTATTATCGTTTTGGTGCTTGGGATATAACCCAGGGCCTTGTGAGCTCTACCCTTGAGCTACATTCACAGACTTCTGGTGGTTTTTTTGTGACAGTCTTACAATGTAACCCAGGCTGACCTCAAACTTAAGGATCCTCCTGCCGCAGCCTCCTGAGTCCCTATGAACACAGGCTTACCTTATTCAGCCCAAGTCAGCACTTCCGATATCCCAGTCACTACGTCCTTGTGTTAAGACAACATCAGCAAACTCCTAGTGGGAGAACCTGTGGTCTATAGAGACCAAACAGCTGGTGGAAGGTCCCAGGGAAAATGGAACTGTAAATACCCACCAGAAGCCCAGATGGAAAGGGTGCTGGGACTGCAGGTGCGGGCTGACTAACACCCAACTTGGTAAGCCCTTTCTGAGCCTACTGGCTCATCCCTCAGGTACAAGCCCTTTCTAAGCCTACCGGCTCGTCCCTCAGGTACAAGTGACATCAGAAGGTCCATCCCACTGTCTCTTTCCACAGTTAAGACACTGAACCAAAACAGGGCTCAGTGTGAGGGCTGCTGGGAAAACTCATTCCTTAACATTGGCAATAACATGAGCTGGAAAGGTGGCTGAGCTGGGAGAAAAGGCACTTGCCACCAAGCCAGACAACTTGAGTCCAATCCCCAGGACCCACATGGGAGAAAACTGACTCCCAAAAGTTGTCATCTGACTTCCATGACTGGCAACGTGTCACATGCCTATGTGCATACATAAAATAAATAAAAATGTAATTTAAAAAAATGTATCTGAGAGCCAGGAGTGGTGGTGCATGCCTTTAGTCCCAGCACTCAGGAGGCAGAGGCAGGTGGATCTCTGTGAGTTCAAGGCCAGCCTGGACTACATAGGAAGATCCAGGCCAGCTGGGGCTACAGGGAGACCCTGTTTCAAAAAGACCAAAAAATAGATTGATGATGACCTCTGGTGATACTGTCTCACTGACGCCATCACTGAAGTGTGCTGATGATGCCCCTGGTCTGAGGGGGCGGGGAAAAAAAAAGACCGAAAAATAAAAAATAACAATAAGAGCACTGGCTGCTCTTGCAGAGGACCCGGGTTCGATTCCCAGCACCCTCATGGAGGCTACAAACTGTCCTTAACTCCAGTTCAGGGGAATCCGAAGCCCTCTTCTGACCTCTGTGGAATTGCACGACACAGGTGCACTCACATACATGCAGGCAATACACTCATACACATAAAATAAAAATATTAATAAAATATTTGAAAATAATAATAATAAAAATAAAAGTATTTGAGACAGGGCCAGTGCAGCCCCGGCTAGCCTGGAACTTGCTATGTAGAGCTGGCTGGCCAGGGACTTACAGAGATCTGCCTGCCTCTGTCTCCTGAGGGCTGGGATTAAAGGCGTGTGCTACCATGCCCAGCCTTAAAAAATTTTTTTCAGCTGGGTGTGGTGGTACACGCCTGTAGTTCCCCCCCTCAGGAGGCAGAGGCAGGCAGATTTCTGTGAATTCAAGGCCAGCCTGGTCTACATAGAGAGTTCCAGGACAGCTGGGGCTAGAGGTAGACCCTGCTTCAAAAAGACCAAAAAAAAAAAAAAATTTTTTTCAAAGACTGACGACAATAAAAATAATATGTAGCCCCAATGTTGGAGTGAGTCAGAGACAGGTGGATCACTGGAACTCATTGGCCAACCAGACTGGAGGATCAGTGAGCTGGGTTCCCTAAGTGACCCTGTATCAAAAAATATAAGGTGGGGGGGGTGCAGTGAGATTGGCTCAGTGGGTAAAGGCATTTGCTACGTAAGCCAGACCTCCAGAGTTCAATTGCCAGGACCCTCATAAAGGTAGAAGGAGGGAACTGACTCCACAAAGTTGTCCTTTGCCCCCCCCCACACAAATGATGGCATGTGCACCAATACAACATACATCATACACACACAAACACACACAAATACACACACACACACATAGATCATATACATACAAACATATACACAAAGAAATATACACACATACATCACACACAAACACATCGTACACACAAACACATAGACACAAAGAAAACATACACAAATACACGCACACACAGACATCATAAACACAAATACACACACACAAAAACACATCAAATATGCGTCATACACACACACACAGTTGCCCACACACATGCACATAACGAGGAAGCCCACAGCAAGGAGGATGTTATCACAAGGCACACAACAGCACACCTGGCACATTTCCTGGAATGGAGCAGAGCTACCTGGAGGCAGAACAATGGGGACAAGAGTCAATCAAAATCCCTGTTCATTCACTTCCTGGATCCTAGAAACAGCTCCAAGCGGAACTTGCCCACTGGCCAGATGGGATAAAATGAGGCTCCCAGGGCTGCCCTGGCCAGCTTGCACCCAAATCTTGCTACAGATCAGGCAAAGAGGCCTGTGCCCAGAGAGGTTGGGACAGGCAGGGCTGCCAGGCTGATGATGGGCAACACAAGAACAGACAAGCAGATGGATTCATTTGGAAGACAGGAGCCAGTTTTTAAAAGGGGAAGCAAGCTGAAGAGTCAACCAGGGAGACCCAGAAAACAGAGACCCTTGAAATTCAGTCAGTCAGAAGGCACAGAGCAACTCAAGCAAGCATTCAGTCATCACTAAGTGCAAAGGGCGCAGATTCGCACACCAGAGGTCATCCTGAACACCTTAGCCAGACAACAGCGGACTTCAGAGTGGGCCTAGACAGATGGAACAACCAAATGTTGTTGGTAGAAGGGGTCTGTCCAGAACAGAAAAACAGCGGAAATGGCTCCAGATATATGACTGGCCAGCCAGACCCCTGGGATCATCCCCCTTTAGGCAGCGGAGTAGCAGGTGCTACTTCTGAGGCGCATACACTAAGATATCTAGGTGGCAGGGAAAAGATCTCTCCAGGATCACAAGTAAAGAGATGTCAGGGTACACACCAGGAAAGCTACTGCTAGATGCAGGATGAGGGGTCTGCACTGAACGTCTGGTCCCAGGTCTTATCCAGTGCGAGGAATCATCCCTGGGCCTGGGTCTGCATCCCAGGTCCCAAGAGGGACCCACTGAGACCGCCCGGTCTACAGCCCCTTGCAGAGACCCATCGGGACTTTGATCCAGTGTAAGTCAATGACCCAGGGACTGGGTCTGCATCCAGGCTCCCCATAGGAACCCAACTAAGACTTTCTTTCCAAACCTCATCCAGTGTAAGCCATCAGCCCCGGCCTGGGTCTGCATCCCAAATCCGTGCAGGGACCTACTGGGGCGGATCAGTCTACTTCATTGTCCCTCCCAGGGGCCCACTGAGACAGTCTTTCCAGCCCTCACCCAGTGCAAGCCATAAATTCCACCTGGGTCAGCATCCGGGATCCCCACAGGAACCCACTGAGACTCTTATCCCAAATCCCCGCAACGATCCACTGACCCCGTACAGTTCACAACACAGTCCCTTGCAGGAACCCATAGGGACTCTGCCAGCCCTCACGTAATGCGAGCCGTCAGCCCGGGCCAGGGTCTGCATCCCGTGTCCCCACAGGGTCCCTCGCTCCCGGCCGTCCCGAAGGGCCCGCCCCCGGCCCTCGGTCCTGCCCTGTCTCGGCGCTCGCGTGAAGAGTTCCGCCATTCCTGGGTCCGCCCTAGGCCGCCGCCCGCCCGTCCCGTCCGGCCTGTGCCCCGGGAGGTGGAGGAAGCACCGGCGGCGCGCTCGCTCAACTCGCTCACCGGCCCACGAAGTTCTCCAGCACAGAGCTCTTGCCCGCGCTCTGGCCGCCCACCACGGCGATCTGCGGCAGGTCCAGGTGGCAGCTCTGGCCAATGGAGCTGAAGGCGTCCTGCAGCTTGTTGACCAGTGGGATGAGCTCTTCCATCCCGCGGTTGCCCATGGCGCCGGCCGCCTAGCCCGCCGCTTCCCTGGCAACCACTGCCCGGGCTCGGAGGAGACTGCGGCCGTGGCTTCTTCCCGCTAGGCTCAGCTCACCCGGCCCAGGTTCCCCTCAGGAACGACGCCCAGGACCCGGCTCGGCCTCACAGTCGCCGCCTCATCCGGTTCTCAGGCGACACCCGACCCGAGCGACCTCCCCGCCCCGCGGCCTCCGAGGGAGGAGCCCAGGGCCTCAAAGCTGACTCAGATTGGTCATCGCGCTGCCACCCAAACACGGGAGCCAGTAACATGGAGGCACGAAGAAGCCAGCCCCCCGAGAAGCCTTCAGCGAGGTGATTGAATGGGGAAATTGTCACTATTAGCTAACAACCAATAAGAAGAGGGAAGTGAGTTGTCAAGGCGGGGAGGCGGGGTTTCTGGAAAACACGCCGATACCTCCACCCACTAGGTGGGAGAGGCGCGCAGGCTTATTGGGCAATTTAAACGTCAGTTTTAAACGATGACCAATGAGGTGAGGAATGGATCCTTAAACACGAGTTTGTCGCCAGACGTAGTTAGTTCCTTAAAGATTTCCTATTGGCTGATGTAAATCTCACTTCCTTCCTCCAGCCAATAAGGCAAAATACGGTGGACTTTAGCAAACATTTCTTTTTCATTTTTCTCCTTTAAAAAAAAAAAAAAATTATTATTTTTATTTTATATGTATGAGTGTATTGCCTGCATGTATATGAGTGCACCCGTGCCGTGCAATGCTGCGGAGGTCAGAAGAGGGCTTTGCATTCCCCTGGAACTGGAGTTAAGGACAGTTCTTAGCCTCCATGTGGGTGCTGGGAATCAAACCCAGGTCCTCTGCAAGAACAGTCGGTGATCTTAACCGATGCGCCATCTCTCCAACCCCTAATTAATTTTTAAAAAATAATTTACCGAGAATTTCATACATGCATATAAGATGGTTTGATCAAATCCATGCCCGCTCCCTTCCCCTCCAACTCCTCCCATATCTCCCCACCACTTTTTTCTGATAACGTCATATACTAATTTTATTTATTTATTTACTTATTTATTTATTTATTTATTTATTTATTATTTTTGGTCTTTTTGACAGAGATCTGCCTGCCTCTGCCTCCCCAGTGCTGGGATTAAAGGCGTGTGCCACCACACCCAGCTACTCTTTCTTTTTTTAAAAAAGTTTTTTATTATTTTTTTATTTTATGTGTATGCGTGTACTGTCTGCATGTAAGTAAGTTCACCCCTGTCGTGCAATGCCCGAGGAGGATAGAATGGGCTGTTGGATCCCCGGAACTGGAGTTACAGTTCTTAGCCTCCATGTGGGTGCTGGGATTCGAACCCGGGTCTTCTGTAAGAACAGCCAGTGTTCTTAACTGCTGAGCCATCTCTCCAGCTCCTTTTCTTTTTTTTTTTTAGTGGGAATTTTGCTACTCTAACATTCCCTCCTCTGAAGAGATAACCCTAAAATCTTTTAAGGATTAGATAAAAGCTCCCAGATACTTTTGACATTTTTAGCCTTTGGAATGGAGTATGTTGTGACTTTTAGCTAAAAAACTGGCTACTTTTCTTTGGGGTCTTTTTTCCCCTAACTGCCTAGCCAATTCTATCTCCTATTTTTTTTTTTTTTTTTTTTTGTTTGTTTTTTTTTGTTTTTGTCTTTTTGAGACAGGGTCTCCCTGTAGCTCTAGCTGTTCCGGAACTCACTATGTAGACCAGGCTGGCCTGGAACTCGCAGAGATCCGCGAGTGCTGGGATGAAAGGCATGCACCACCATGCCCAGCCATTATCTCCTATTATCACACCATCCTCTGAAGAAGTTACCCAACTTGCGGATAGGGAATCAGGTCGAAGACTGCTCTGGCTTCTTCCATGCTGAACAGGGATGCAGAGTGAGGCAACTGGGCTACTCCTTCAGGGGATCTACCTAAAAGACTTCCAAATTGCATAACTCTTTTTTTTTTTTTTTAATTGTGAAGGAGAAGTAAAGGCAAGAGTATAGCATTACAAGTTCTAGACAGGGAACTAGAAAAAAGAACAGGGCAATTTTCAAATGTTCATATGAGAGTCCATTGGAATTTCTTGACAAGGGCTTCCAAAAGCATCCCTCTATTGGGTTCCTCCTCATTTTTCTTTTGTCTTCCAAGGCTGGACTTGAGAGTGATGGATTCGGGATTTGTTTTCAGGTATTTTGCTAGCTGTTGGAGTGGTTAGAATCTGTATCAGTTCCCTCTCAAAGGCTTTTTGGAGGCAGTCTGTCTAGCCCTAGCTGGCAACAAACTGGCAGTGATCCTCTTGCCTCCGCCTTCGCCTGCTGGGATTACAGAAATGGGCTACACTCACTTGGCTAACTTCCTGTCTTGATTCTGACTGACAACTGTATTTGTCCATTAAAAAAAAAAAAAAATTCCTTCCTTGTGTTAATTTGTGACATTCTTTTGTTCACTTTTCTCATGCAAGCCTGACACCTTGTGGTGAGGCTCGGTGATTGCCGTTCCTGAGTTGGGACACTACTGAAAACATTTGTGTTAGAAATCATCTCAGATCCCAGCTCTGGAGGAAGTATCCCAACCCCCTCTGAAAGTGAGTCCACACTTTTGCCCTGCTAGGCTATACCTGAGATTGTGTGTGTGTGCTCACGTGTTTGGGTATATGTGTTTCTAGAGACTGAACGTGGGGCATTATGCATGCTAAGTGCTGTAACACTGAGCTACGGCCCCAAGCTTTATTTTCACATTTTTGAGATGACAAGGTCTTCCTTATAAGTGTCCCAGGCTGCTCTTGAACTTTCAGTCCTCCTGCCTCAGCCTTTCACGTGTATGAAGCCATTAGAGTATGCTGACTTTATCATGACAACTCCAGCTGATTCATCGGGAAGATTAGGGTTATACATCTTCAGCAGTGCCCATGAGAAATAAACTCTGAAAAAGGTAATTTCTTGGGTTTAGGAAGGACCATATTCTGGGAAGTGCTTCAGAGGAACAGACAGTAATTCGAAGAGTATAGTAAAGAAGGAATAGAAACCTTCAGGAGACATCTCAGCTTCTTCGAGAGTTTGAATGTTGAATAAGCCACTTAAGTGTGATATCTATATTATCCTTTTCTTTGCAAGAAATTGAATAGCAGCAAATTTCTCTATCATGAATAGCAGACAGATTCATTTTTTTCAATTAGCTGTTTCTCATCCAAGGCATTTGGAAGATCTCTCTTGTTTCCAAGCCTGTAAGTTGGGGGAAAGCTGAGGCCTCCCCCTTTTTGGTCAAACCCCCCATTCCCCTTCCTTTGTGTGATCTTTTAAAAAACATTTTATTTTTTAAAATATTCTTATGTGTATGAGTGTTATGCCTGCATGCAGGTAAGTGCACCCGTGTCGTGCAATGCCCGCAGAGGACAGAAGAGGCTGTCAGATCCCCTGGAACTGGAGTTATGGACAGTTGTTAGCTGCCATGTGGGTACTGGGATCTGCAAGAACATTCACTGTTCTTAACCACTGAGCCATCTCTCCAGCCCCTTTTGTGCAGATTCTTAGCCAACTGGGAATGACTATGAGGCTAGACCCCAGCCAATGGGGAGAAACACTACTATGGTGTTAGGAGTTAGGATAAAAACTCGTCCTATCCCTTATTCCATGTGCTTGTTTCTCCTCTGTGCATCCTTTTGAGCAGAAGTAAAGGTTTACCTTGTCAAGATACTTTAATTGGAGTGGTGGTGGTCTCTTCCTTTGCAACCTGAACATTTCTAACCTGAACATATTTCTAACACAGCTGAGCCATTTCCCCTGTGATGGTTACTTTCTCCCCGCCCCCATCCCCGTACTGGGATGGCCATCAGGGCTTCCACATAATACACACATGCTCAACCACTGAGCACCACTTATCATCAGTGAGAGGGGAAATAAATAATAACAGTGATGATTGGACCAGGAAAGGGACCCCCCGGATAGGCAACCTCCCCAAGAAGACACAGACACACACTCTTAGAAAAATCTTTAAAAAAAAAACAAAAACAAAAACAAAAACAAAAAACAGTATCTTCCAGCCTCCCAGCCCCAGCCTCTCCTTCCCCCAAAACCAGGTCATCCCAGGGTGATCCCCACTGAGGCCAGGGCTTCGATGGCCCAGGGTGGACAAAGGCTGTAGTCCCCATACATGGTGAGCATGAAGTTCCGAACGAAGTCTGGGAAGCTCTGCTCCAAGATGCTGCTGCGCATAGCACTCAGGAGCTGCAGCTGCAGGTGGAGGGGCATCAGTCTGGGTGTCCACCAACAGGAGCCACTGCCCACAACTCCATGGCAAGCCAGGAATCCTGCCCATGCCACACCCATAGAAGCTGCCCTTGATTTACCCCACAAAGGAAGCCCCCACATGCAAGACACTCATCATACCCTAGACACTTAAGAGTTCTGCCTGATCCCAAAAGGGGAGCCCCCAAAAAATCAGGCCCTCAGAACTGGAACCACAACCTCAACGTACTTAACAGTCCTGCCCCATCATACCCTAAAAAGGAAGACACATCCCCAAATGGGGAGCCACTGCAAGACAGCTAGATTACTGCCTACATCTTGCTGCCTAAAGTAGAGCTTAAACCCCAGGACACTTAAGAGTAGAGTCCCAGAGTCCTTTAATCCCAGCACTCACACTCAGGAGGCAGAGGCAGGCAGATCTCTGTGAGTTTGAGGCCAGCTGGGGCTACAGAGAGACCCTGTCTCAAAAGGACAAAAAAAAAAAAAAAAAGTAGAGCCGCACCCCATCATATCACAAAATGGAGAGCTGCGCCCCCAAGGCACCTAGACTAAGGCCCATGGCCTGCCTTGGCAAAGGGGAGCCCCACCCACACCCCACCCTAAAAGGAAGACCTGCCTCATCACAACCCCAAAAGGGGAACCCTGCCCCATCACTCCCACCTCCTGGTCAGCTAGACTACAGCCCACACCCATGCCCCATCACCAAAAGCCCAGCCTCAGCAAAGCACTAGGAAGCCCCACTCACACCATATCCAAAGGGCTAGGCCATGGCCCCATGTGGACATTACTCCATCTCCAGGCCCAGACCCACCTGGTAAGCTATGTTATGCACAGTGAGGTGGTGGAGTGCAGCTGTGTTGTCGCTGTGCAGGAGAGCGTGCAGGAAGGCACGACTGTGCCTGGGGGTCAACAGGTGACTGGATGAGCATGGCCCTGGCCCTCCCCCTTCTCCCTCTCCAGTCCCCAATTCCCATCACCTACTTCTGGCAGGTAGGACAGGAACACTCGGGGTTTATGGGACTGAAGTCTTTGGCATATTGTTGCTTCTTCAACTGCAGGTTCCCAGTGGGCACCAGGGCAGAGCCAAAGCGCTGCAGCAAGAGAGAGTAGAATGGGGGGGGGCGTCTTCAGCCCTCCCAACCCTTCCAGTCCCTCTGCCCCTCATCTCCCCGCCCAAGACCTCACCGCTGTCCGTGTGGGGTACACACAGTCGAACATGTCGCATCCAAGAGCTACGCAGACCACCAGGTCCGTGGCATAGCTGGGGGTACAGTCAGGGGGTGTGGGAGGATAGCTGAGAACTGGAAGCCTTAGGGAGGGCTTCCCAGGTCCCGGCCCCCTAACTGGACCAATATCTTTCAGAACCACATTCAAATGACTACCTGGTGTTCCCTTTTGTTTTTGTATTGAGACGGGGGTCTCATGTAGCCCAGGCTGGCCTCCAACTCACTATGTAGCCAAGGATGATCCTGAACTCCTGATCCTTCTGCCTCTACCTCCTGAGTGTTGGGATGACAGGTGTGTGCCATCATGCCTGCTATCATCATGCAGCCCCCAGCAAGGCAATACCCCTCTCTCCAAAAGGTTTCACCAAGACAGAGCGCAGGGACCTCCAGGATTTGCTCCCCACAGGGTCCCCTCACCCCAACATACCCAACGCCCATCAGGTATCGGGGTTTGTCCTTAGGCAGCATGGAGGTACTCAATGCCACCATCTTCCAGAACTGGGCCTTGCTCTCTCCCCCGCTCAGACCTCCAATGGCGAAGCCAGGCACGTCCCTTTTGATCATCTCTGAGGGAACAGATGGCTCCAGCTTAAGAGGATTCAAAGTTTTAGGACTTCCCACTAGGTTGACCACACAGCCTGCCACAAGGCTGCCTTCTGCTTTCACTAGAGTGTTTGATAAACTCCCTGAGTGAGTTGGAATATCACCCTGGAATATCAGCCACCCAGGCTGAGGCTGGAGAATCAAAACTTTGAGGCTAGCCTAGGCTACACAGTAAGTTCCAAGCTATCCAGAAACAAAACAACAAACAAAAAAAGGGTGTGATGGTTCACACCTTTAATCTCAGCAAACAGACAGGTGGGTCTTTGTGAGATGGAGACCAGCCTGGACTACATAGCAAGTTCTAGACCAGCTGGGGCTATAGGGAGACCCTGTCACAAAATAACAACAATAATAATTAATAATAGTAATTTTTTAATGTAAAAAGTTTTTTTTTTTAAGAAAAGAAGGGAGAGGAGAGGGGAAAGAAGGAATGTAGCTTCAAGGGAGTCTGGTATTGTCACTTTGGGTTTGTAGGCTCTGGAAGGAAGAGAGGGAAGGAAGGAGGACTAGAAGGCAGGCTAGTATGTTTAGTTTAAATGTAGTAAATTCATTTAGGGCCCCTGCCTAGCATGGGTGAGGCCCTAGGTTTCATCGCAAGAACCACAATCCAAATCCATTTCAAATTACAATATTTTCTGCTTGCAATGTGGTTATCAGAGTGGAAATCATCTCAAGCCAAGATGCATCTACAGTCTGCCACACCTTGTCCCTAGTAGACACAGGTCCTACAAGAAGGAAGGGAGGGAACAGAGGACAAAAAGAGGACTCTGTCCAGGGGCACTGCTGGTGACCATAGCTGCCATGGCAATGGCAGGCAAGGCTCTCTACTTTTATTAAATCCCTTTATTTGTGTGTTTCTATGGATACATATGTCATGCACACCCTGTATGGAGGTCAGAGGACAACTTGCGCGAGTCAGTTCTCTCTACCTTGTGGGTGCTGGGAACTGAACCCAGGTCTTCTGCAAGAGCAGCCAGTGCTCTTAACTGCTGGGCAGCTCTCCAGCCCCTATTTTTTGTAAACTGCGACCCATTTTTGAAGCTGGTTCTTATGTAGTTTACACTAGTCTTAACTCTTGATCGTCCTTCCTTACCAACCTGAGTATACCCACACAGACCCTAAACAAAAAAAAAAAATTAAAATCTAAGATCAGTATTTCCCTTGTGAACAACGGAAACTCAGATTTACTACCATTCTCCATATTCATGCTGCTGCACGCTGCCTCAGAACCTTTGTCTCAACCACACTGTCCATCTGTAGCATCCTTTTGTTCCTTACCTGCCATCATCCTGTGCCTGGTCCTTGGGGGGATATCAAGGAGATGAACTATCTACAATCCTGCCAACACTTAGCTCTAACTTTTGTTTTTGTGTGTGTGTGGGGGGGTTTTTGTTTTTGTTTTTTTGATACAGGGTCTCCCTGTAGCCCTAGCTGTCCTGGAACTCACTATGTAGACCAGGCTGGCCTGGAACTCACAAAGATCTGCCTACCTCTGCCTCCCAAGTGTTGGGATTAAAGGTGTGCACCACCACACTAGGCAGTGTGTGTGTTTTTTGAGAGAGGGGTCTCACTGTAGCCCCAGCTGGCCTGGAACTCACTATGTCGACCAGACTGGCCTCAATCTCACAGAGATCTGCCTGCCTCTGCCTCTACCTTTCAGGCATGCAGCCCGTAAGTTCTCATCCAGTCCGCCCTGGATGATGGCGAAGAGGTTCTGTTTGTCTGGACGCTGATGGGCTGCAATGCACCGGTCCAGCCAGCGAACTGACCTGCAAGAGAATCCCAGGTGGTGAGCCCCTCAAGTCCAGAGAAAGAGAAGGAGCTGCAGCTGCGGGGCCTGGATCCCACTTCCCACATGTGTTTATGTACAGACCTGTGCATGGCCTCCTCCACACGTGGGCCTGTTACTGTACTGCTCACCACATCGTCCAACTGCATGATGATATCAGAGCCTGAGGGTGAGAAGGCAACCTCAAATGAGGAGCAAGAGGGACCTTGCCAGACCCCTCCATATACCTCCATGAAGTCATCCTAACTTGGGTTTTTTTTTTTGTCAGTGTCTCCCTGTGGCCCCAGCTTGCCTGGAACTCACTATATAGACCAGGCTGGCTTCAATAAATTGTAAACTTTTTTTAAAATTTTAATTTATTTTTATTTTATGTGTTCGTTTTTTGGTCTTTATGACTCAGGGTCTCCCTATAACCCCTGTAGTCCACTTGCTATGTGAACCAGGTTGGCCTTGAACTCACAGAGATCCACCTGCCTCTGCCTCCTGGAGTGCTGGGATTAAAGGCATGTACCACCACATCTGGCTTTTATTTTATGTGTATGAGTGTTTTACCTGCATGTATATAAGTACACCATGTGTGTGCAATGTTCCTGAAGGCCAGGAAAGGCCATCAGATCCCTAGAACTGTAGTTACAGACAGTTATCAGCCACGATGTGCGTGCTGGGAACCAAACCCGAGTCCTCTCGAAGAATAGCCAGTGGTCTTAACCACTGAGCCATTTCTCCAGGCCTTTAACTTTTCTTTTAATTAATAAAAATAAATATTTCCTAAAAAAGAAAGAGCCAGGCATGGTGGCACACATCTTTAATCCCAACACTGGCAAGGCAAAGACAGGATGATCTCTGTGAGATCCAGTCCAGCCTGGTCTACATAGCAAGTATCTGACCAGTCAGGGCTCCCGGCTACAGGGAAAAAGAAAATAGAAAGCAAGCAAGCAAGCTCTCTCCCTAAGCCTGCAGGCAGTGCTCCTTCCTATTTCTTTTCTTTTATTTTTATTTTTATTTTTTGGTCTTTTTGAGACAGTCTCTGTGTAGCTGCAGCTGGCCTGGAACTTGCTATGTACACTAAGTTGGCCTCGAACTCACAAAGATCCACCTGCCTCTGCCTCTGCCTCCCTCCCAAGTGCTGGGGTTAAAGGCATGCACCACCACACCTGGTATTCCTCCCTATTTCTGCTTCAAGTTCCTTCCTTGACTTACTTTAAAAAAGGACTAGGTCTTGTGTGAGCCAAATAAATTCTTACCTCCCCAAGTTGTTTTTAGTCAAAGTGTTTATTTAGCACAGCAACAGAACAGAAACTGAGACAGACAGACAACTTGGTAGAAACCAGGCCTAGCGGGATCAGGAGTCAAAGCCAATATGAGCAACAAAGCTATACTCTCTCTCTCTCTAAACAAAATAAAAATGGAGCCAAGTGTGGTAGAGCATGCCTATAATCCATCAGGAAACAGGAGAGTCATGAGCTTTCTTTCCTCCAGAGAGACAAAAACCAAGCAATCAAAGCAGGACTCCATAGTGGATCCCCTGCCTAGAATCCCCATGAGGGGCTGACACAGGTGCTTCCTTGCAGAGCATTGGTCTAGTTTGAGTGAGACCCTGGAGCAGGAACAAGCAGCACTGGACCTGGGACACAGCTGAACCACAGGCAAATGAAGCTGGGCGGCAGGAATATGAGTTCTGTCTACTTGTGAACACAAAGGGAAATTTCCTAATTATAGAAATGCCAGGAACAGAGGGATATGCTGTGAGCACACAGTCCCATGGGGAAATGAAAATGGATGTACACTCATCCATATTTACAAAAACTCTAGAAGGATGTATAACAAGCTTCTAACAATGGTGACCTGTTAGAGTGAAGGGAGACAGACAAGACTCTTTATATACACATCTTTACTCAAAAATGAGCCCAAAATGTATCTTTTATTTTAGTTTTGGGTTTGTTTTGAGACAGAACTTCATATCGTTAGATCCTCATCTGAGGGTTGCAGAGATGGTTCAGTGGTTAAGAGCACTGGTTGCTCTTGCAGAGGACCTGGGTTAGGTACCCAACAACCACATGGCAGCTAACACCATCCATAACTCCAGTTCCAGGGGATCCAACACCTTCTTCTGGCCTCCAAGGGCATTGTAGGTACACATGTGGTGCACTTACAAACATGCAGGCAAAATACTCATACACATAAAAACATAGGGCCTAATGGCGCATACCTTCTTCGATCCTAGCACACTCTGTGAAATCCAGGCCAGCCTAGTCTAGATAACAATTTCTAGGCCAGCTGGGGCTAAGGGAAAACATATCTTTAAAAAAAAAAAAAAAAAAAGCCAGGGGGCTGGAGAGATGGCTCAGCAGTTAAGAACACTGGCTGTTCTTGCAGAAGACCCAGTTCAAATCCCAGCATCCACATGGCAGCTAACAACTGTGGAACTCCAGTTTCAGGGGATCCAACAGCCTCTTCTGTCCTCCACAGGCATTGTGAAAAGTCACCTAGTACCTTTACAGTTGACATCCGCCCTTCCTGTTCAGGGAATTGATTAGGAAGCATACCTATTTTGATGAACTACCATCAATTTTTAAAATGTATTTCTCTACCATGGGCTTTGGTAAGACAAGATAAGAATATAGCTTCTTGCTAAGTGCTGAACCAAGTTGAGTGAAAAAAAAACAAAGAAAGAAAAGGGGCTGGAGAGATGGCTCAGCGGTTAAGAACACTGGCTGTTCTTGCAGAAGACCAAGGTGTTTGAATCCCAGCACCCACATGGCAGCTAACAACTGTCCGTGGGATCTGATGCCCTCTTCTGTCCTCTGCAGGCATTGCAAGCAATACAGGCATACGCATAAGAAAAAATAAAAATAATAAATAATTGCCAGGCGTGGAGGCGCACACCTTTGATCCCAGCACTGGGAGGCAGAGGTAGGTGGATCTCTGTGAGTTCAAGGCCAGCCTAGTCTACATAGTGAGTTCCAGGACAGCTGGGGCTACAGGGAGACCCTGTCTCAAAAAGACCAAAAAAAGAAAAATAAATAAATAATTTAAAAAGAAGAAAGAAAAAAAAAAAAGGTAGCAAACCAATAAGCAGTCATCTCCATGGTCTCTGATTCAGCTCCTGCCTCCAAGAGCCCTGAATCTTGCCTTGGTTCCCCTAAGTGACAGTCTTTTAAAATTTGTTTTGGTATGTTTTTTTTTTTTTAGATAGCCTGGAACTCGCTATCTAGACCAGGCAGGCCTTGAACTCAGAGATCCGCCTGCCTCTGCCCCAGAGTGTTGCTAAGTGATGAATTGTAACCTATACACTACAATAAATCCTTTCATTCCCAAGTTGCTCTTGGTCCATGTTTTATCACTGCAGCAGAAAGCAAAACAGGACAGAGATTCTGTCTCAAACAAACAAAATAGGCCAGTGAGATGGCTCAGCAGGTAAAGGTGCTTGCTGTGACCTGAGTTTGATCCCTACACAGAAAGAGAAAATGGATTCACACAAGTTTTTTTTCCTCTGAACTTAAGGGCACACCACAGCACACAAATAAATGAAATATAAGTAAATAAATAAGTAAATAAGGAAATTAAAGCCAACAAACAAAAACAGCACCTACATATTAGGGATTGTGTTGAAATGATTGTCATTGCTTTTTGTTTGTTAGTTTTTGAGGCAGGGTCTTTCATAGTCCCAGCTGATCTAGACCTCCCTCTATATGTAGATCAGGCTGACCTCCATCTCAGAGATACATCTGCCTCTGTTGGAATTCAAGATGTGGGCCATCACACCTAGCTAATATTACTTCTTACCCAACCTCCATCTTCGGAGCTAGGGCATTTTGACAGGGTCTTACTGTGTAGTCCAGGCTAGCCTGGAACATGCAGCAATCTTCCTGCTAAGCAGCCACCACACTTTGCATGTGTGTTTGTTTTGCCTGCATGTGTGCAAGTGCACCCATGTCATATAATGCCCTCAGAGGTCAGAAGAGGAATCAGATCTCCCCACTGGAACTGGAGTTAAAGATGGTTGTTAGGGGCTAGAGACATAGCTCAGCCATTAAGAGCACTGGCTATTCTTGCAGAAGACCCAGGTTCAGTTCCCAGAACCCACATGTCACCTAACAAGTCTCTTCTGGCCTTCCTGGGCACTGCATGGTGTGTGTTCACTTACATATATGCAGGCAAAATACTCATACACATAAAATAAAAATAAATCGCCAGGCTTGGTGACGCCTTTAATCCCAGCACTTGAGAGGCAGAGGCAGGTGGCTCTTTGTGAGTTTGAGGCCAGCCTGGTCTACACAGAGTTCCAGGACAGCTGGGGCTACAAGGAGACCCTGTCTCAAAAAAGACCAAAAATCAAAATAAATAAATAAAATTTAAGACCCTTGTTAGCTGCCATGTAGCTGCTGGGACCCACACCCAGGTCCTCTCCAAGAGGAGGCAGTGCTGGTAACTGCTGCAGCCCGCTCTCCAGCCCCACCCTCTGTATTTTTATGTATATTTGTTGTTCTGTTCTGTTTTCAGTGCTGGGGATGGTATTTGGGCTTCCTTCACTAGGCAAAGCTGAGACATATACTTAGTCCGGGACCCTCTGTTATTTATTCTAACTTGAGTGAGTTTTGGTGAATGCAAATTCAGAGCGAGGTAGAGACTCTGCGCACCGCACCCACAGCGTCTGAGTGATGGGACGCGTGGCACTTTGCAGGCAACTTGAAGGGGCTGAGCCCCGAGGTCCACTCACCTAGTGCGTTTTGGATTTCTACGGATCTCTCTGGGCTCAAAAGCGTCTCCTCCCCGTCGTATGGCGAGCGGAAGCGGACGCCCTCCTCCGTCACCTCCGAAAGGGACACCAGAGACACCATCTGGAAGCCGCCGCTGTCCTGGAGGGGACCCCACCGCGGGGCTGTCAGGAGATGGGGAACCGTTCACCCAAAGAAACGCCCTGGGACCGTGACCCCAACTCACCGTCAGAAGATTGTGGGGCCAATTCATGAAGCCATGGAGACCCTGGGCTTTCTGGATTAGCTCAGGGCCCTGGGTTGGCGAGAGAAAGGGTTCGGTTAGGGGTGAGCCCGACTTAGGGACTTGAAACCCGTCACCTCCAGGCCTTGGGTGAAGCCTCATGCATATTGTGCTTTTGCTGATTGACTTTCTATGAGACGTGGCCCGGCCTGGCTGACACCCGCTCTTACCCCCGCCTCCGGGTTCGAATCTACCCACCGGCCTCAGCCCCAGATGGTAGGTGTTGCCCAAGCAGATGCGGCAGCCCAAGGCATCCAGCTGCTCGGTGGTGATACCCTTCATGGTGGCCTGCGTGCCCACAGGCATGAACACCGGGGTAGCCACCGGGCCGTGAGGCAGCCGAAGCTCGCCCGCCCGGGCTCTGGAGCGGCTGCACTGGGCCACCAGGCGCATTATTCGCGGGGCAGACTCCAGGGACGCGGGACTGCTCGCTCCAACCGCCGCCATCTTTTCTCCTGTACCCACGTGGACTGAGGCCACAATGGGTGGAGCCCTAGTGGACTGGATCACATGATACGAAGGGTGTGCCGAAGCCCTGGGGAAGCGTCTGGAAACCTTGGCAACCGACTCCAACGCGCTCCTCCCACCTCTCTGCCCAGTTTTCCACCTCCTGAAGTGTTTAGAGTTAAAATTCCTCAATGTCCAAATGCCTTCTTACCACTTACCATGTGACTTATATATACATTTGTACACCTGTGCATATATAGTATATATGCTAAAATATGTGAATCTAATATGTAATCTAATGTGAATCTAAATCTAATACTACATGTAAATATATAATCTCCCCACTGTTCCCTGAACAGGGGTAAAGGAAACTGACTCATGGATTTATTGAGCACTAGGTGTATAGAATGTAGATATAACTGGAGCTATCGAGTCTGAGGCAGCAGAGGGCACCAATGTCACAGAACACTTCCAGTTGGATGACTCCTGCTCTGGGCAGGATTGCCTGTGGAGGATCCTAAAACTTCTTACCCTATAATAAAGACTCATGATGCCAGTTTCTCAGTGCTTTAGTGAGGCTGAGGCTGTCAGTTGTAGAGCGTGTGTGTGTATGTGTGTGTGTAGCACAGACAGAGGAATATGTCAGCTGTCCTGCTCTCATTCTACTCTCTGAGTCAGGGTTTCTCCCTGCACCAGGAGAAACTAAAGCTAGGCTGGGGACCAGCAAGTAACAGTGATTCTCCTGTGTTCGCTCCTCATAGTAATGGGATTACAGGTGTACAAAGGTCACACTGGATTTTTTTTTTTTTGACACAGAATCTCCCTGTACCCCCGCTGGCCTGGAACTAGCTATGTAGACCAGACTGGCCTCAAATTCAGAGGTCTGCTTGTTTCTACTTCCTAAATTCTGGGATTAAAGATATGTGCCACCATGCCAACTGTGCTGGATAGCGTTAGTTGTCACCTTGACACATCTAGGTGAGGGAGTCTCAATTGGTGAATTAGCTCTATTGAACTGGCCTGTGGCCATAGTCTGTGGGGCATCTTCTTGATTATGATGTGGGATGGCCAAGCCCACTGTGGGTGGTGCCAGCTATGGACAGCTGGGCCCCTGTTGTATAAGAAAGCAGGTGGAGCATGGGCCTGAGGAGCAAGCCAGTAAGCAGTGTTCCTCCATGGCCTGTGTTCCAGTTCCTGCCGAGTTCCTGCCTTGGGCTCCCTGATGAATTGTGACCTGGGAGATGTAAGCCAAATAAAATAAATCCTTTCCTCACCAAGTTGGTATTGGTCAAAGTGTTTTGTCACAACAATGGAGAAACAAACTAGAACATCAACCCCGTTTGCCGCCATGTGGGTGCTGGGAATTGAACCTAGGTCCTCTGCAAGAGCAGTCAGTGTTCTTAACCACTATCTCCCAGCCCCAACCCCTAGCTTTTATAATCATTACATTTCATTAGTGTATCCACAAGCATACTCGACACAAGACTATGGAGGTCACAGGACAAGTGACAGGTCACCCCACAGCCCCAGTTCTCTCTCCACTGCATGGGTCCCAGGAAATTGCACTCAGGTTGTCAGGATTGGCAGCAAGCAACTTTTACATAACTGACCCATTTCACTAGCCATCTCCCCTGCATGGCTCCCAGCACATAACAAATCAAGCCTCAGCCAGCTGTACCTCTGAGATTTTATACTTACAACTGCCTTTGAAGTATGCATCCCCCTGAGTGTCAATGTGTGGCTGAGGTTCTCTCTCTCTCTCTCTCTCTCTCTGTCTCTGTCTCTCTCTCTCTCCTGTTCTGGAACTATGTAGACCAGTCTGGCCTAGGTCTCACAGAAATTCTGCTTCTGCCTCTGGAGTGCATGGATTAAACCATTATGCTCAGCTTTACATTTTGCTTTTTACATTTTGCTTTTTTGAGACAGGGTCTCACTGTGTAGCCCTGGCTGACCTGGAACTCATTATGTAGATCAGGTTGACCTTGAACTCACAGAGATCCACCTACCTCTATCTCAGAGTGCTAGGAGTAAAGGTGTGTGCCACACTATGCCCCAGCATCCTCAGCCAATCTTAAGCACACTTTCTGCAGTCCCTTTGGAGGCCAGAAGAGGGCATCGGATACCCTGGATGTGGAGATAGAGAGGTTGTTACCTGCCATGTGGGTGCTGGGAACTGAACCTGAGTCCTCTACAAGAGTAGCCAGTGCTCTTAATCGCTGAACCATTTCTCCAGCCTCAACTCATGTTTTGAAAACACCTCCATACAGGGCTTGGGACTGTTCCTCAGATGCTAGAGTGCTTGCTTAGCATGCATGAAATCTTAGGCTCCATGCCAGCACCCCATAAGCCTGGTAGAGCCCTGTACTAGCATTCAGGAGACTAAGGCAGGAAGATCAGCTCAAGGTTATCCTTGGCTACACAGAGAATTACAGGCCAGCCTGAGCTGTATGAGATGCCCTCTTAAAAAAATTTAAAGCCCTACAAAATGGACAATGCCCAAATTTTCTCCCCAACCCAGACCTTTGGAATCTTGACATTCTCTTTATAGATGCTTTTTCTGAAATCAATTATCTATAGGAATCCAAGTATCAGGCTGGAAGGTGGCTTAGAATAAGGGCACCTGCCATGAGACAAGCCTAGAGGCCTGAGTTTAACCCCTGGGACCCACGTGGTAAGAAAAAAATCAACTCTCACAATTGTCCTCTGATCTTCACATGTGCTGTGTTACTAATGTGTATACCCAAGTTAAATAAAAACAACGTAACAAGTCATCCAAACTCTATTTTTCAATTTTTGGTTTTTTTTATTTTAGGTGTTTGGTCTGCATGCAAGTAAGCCATGTGTATGCAATGCCTGTGGAGGCCAGAAGAGGGCACCGGATCCCCCTGGAACTGGAGTAATGTACAGTTAGCTGCCACGTGGGAGCTAGGTACTGAACCCAAATCCTTTGCAAGAGAGGTGCTCTTAACTGCTGAGCCATCTGTTTAGACTACAACTGTTCCTCCACACTCAAATCCTCCATCTCTCTGCTGTAAAGGGAGCACAGTCCTTCCAGAAATGCACATCCAAACTCCAGGAATGTTTTGACTTCTGGTCTTTCTCTCCTCCCTATCCCAAGTAGCTGATTTCAAGATATATTTAGAGTTAGCCGCTTTCAGCTTCATTCTCATCCACTAAACATCACTATTATTACTTGAATCACATTCTGGCACTAGTTACGAGGTCCAGGCTGGCCTCAGTCCCCTAAGTGCTAAGATTGCAGGGATAATCCACAATGCCCAGTCTCTTCATTTTTACACAAGGCTTGGTGTGTGTGTGCTAAGCAAGACTGTATCAACTGAGCTACAGCCTGAGCTCCTCACCAGCTGTGCTTTTTACTTAGGTCTCATTTTGCAGCCCTGGCTGATCTTGACTCTACCCTCCAGTCTATACCTTCTAAGTGATGGGAGTACAAGGTGTGGGCTACCATGCCCAGCTTCTCTATTATAAATTTTGTATTACATTGTTAGAGTCGGGGTGGGGACCACGTGCCATGGCAAACATGTAGAGGGCAGAAGACCAACTTTAGGGAGGTCAGCTCTTTCACCTTAGGGGTTTCTCACAGAGATCCACTTGTCTCAGCCTCCAAGTGTTGGGACTAAAGACGTGTGCCACCGCACCCAGCACTGATGGCTTTTTCCTTTTCCTGCAGATGTCTTGCTACACTGCCCAGGCTGTCCTCAGATTCTCAGGGTCAACTGACCCTGACCCGTCTCCAACATACCAGGCTGACTGAAACAAGGACCGTGCCCGCTGGCAGTTCTGTATATGAACGTGAGCAAGCCGTTCTGGCAGCAGAAACACTTAAGAGCCAACGCCCAGCCAGGGAAATGTGCCAGGGCTGCTTCTGGCAGTGATCAGTGGGCTGGCAGGACTGAAAGTAGAGGTAGATGCAACTGTCGCAGCAGGAGGTAAAGGCTGACTGGGAGGACTCTGCTTACAGAGGATGGGGCTTCACTGGAGGAGCAGGAGATAACTTTGTCATTGGGGTAGGAATAGAGATAATGGGTATGCACAAGTGACAAGGCCATCAGTTAAGAGGACTGGGGCGACCGTAGCCATCCTTTACAGACAGCACTGGGAGCTTGGTGTCAGCACAACGGACAGCGCCCAACCTGTTGCCTTGGAGACTCCCAGGCGGCTGCACTAGAGGCGGGGCTTGAAGGAGCTCCATTCCGAAGCCTAGCTTCAAGTCTGGGTAACATCTTTGAGGACACAGCTGTTCTGTGGAAGGAAGCTGGCTGGGTTTGTAGGGTGGGAGTGCCCAGCAGGAGTTATCTAGGAAATTTCAAGGTGCCTGGACAGCCTGGTGCCCTTGGTTTGAAGGGGTGGTGATGTCTGCAGAAGCTGGACTCGGGAGCCTGAACATTTATCACAGAAGGACCCCACTCAGAAACCCCATCCTCATCTCCCCAAGGAGGGATTAGGTGGCTGGTATGAAGGAGCAGTGATCTGGTGTCCAGACAGCCAAGTGACTGGATGCAATTCCAGTTACAGACAAGAGCTGAGAAAATACTTAAGAGTAAAATTGGGATTTCTGTCCCAACTGTGAAATGGTCCACCTGAGAGCACAGATTTGGGTGGCTGCATCCTTTGAGTCTATAAAGCTCAGATGCCACACTGGCTGGGCTTAGTCACCATCTTTGGGAAGCTGCTGGAGATCTTGGGTCAAGGAACCATAACCACATGCTCCAGCTATCAGCAGAAGGGGGTCTGAGTGCTCCTTCTGAGGACAAGCAACCTTTTCAGCTCTCAGACCAATTCCCATCAACCAACTCCAGGGAATTCTCAATCGCAAAAACACAACCCATAGGAATGCTTCCAAAGGGGTGCAATCAGTCTGGGATCTTGCCAGCTCAGAACCCCTGAAGGGTTTAATTCCAACTCCATGGGATCTGACACCCTCTGGCCTCCTTGGGTACATAAACTCACATCCCTCACATACAAATAATTAAAAAAAAATGCCACCCAATACACACACAAGTGACTGCAGTAAGT